GTTGTATCATCCATTAAAGGGGATGCGGTATCTATTTTCTTCAGTGCAAAAGCCAAAATTAAACATATGCAGTTTATTATTATTTGATAATCCCGTATTAAATTGGGTAGAACTGTAAAGGAGGACTTGCTGAGTGTATATGTGTCTGTGTGTGTGTGTGCACTAGTAGTATATTTTTAACACATACTCAGGTATCCTTCAACATGACTAATTACATGAGTGTGACCTGCACATGGACACAGACACACACACATAAATGTGTGCATGTCTTGCTTTTTCTAGCTCTGCCCCTCTCTCCAGCCAGCTGCTCTGTTTCGTTAACATCGGCACTTTTCGGTTCCTCAGACGCTCGCATGCTCCCTTGGTCTCCCTCTCCCTCTCTCTCTCATACACACACACACACACACACACACACACACACACACACACACACACACACACACACATACAGCCCATATCTATTCATACAATCCATAGAGACATGCAATCCATGGAGACGATTCATGTAGCAAGAGAATAAATGAGTGCAGAAGCAGATAACGAATGAACCTGAGCCAGGCTGGTGTGTTACTGTAATGAGGCCAGGGACGGCTTTGTGCTCACCTTGTACTTTTTACACCTCCTCCCCTTCCCTCTTCTTTTTTCTCCTCTTGTCACCTCCCCTCCCTCCCTTGTCCCCTCTCATCGCCCATCCTCCTCTCTATGCCTCTCTTGTCCCTTATCTCCTCCATGGTTAAACTTCTCTTCCTACCACTGTCCTCTACTAATTTTTTTTCTTTTTGCCCCTGTTCTCTCCCTCTTACTCCCCCACCTGTTCTTCTTTTCCTCTACTTGTCAACCCATACTGACTCTCATCGCCTTTCCTCTCTTTATTCTTTGCCTCTACATTGCTGCCCTTGTGTCCTTGTTAATCCCTGCTCTCCGTTGCTAATACCACTCCTCTCACTTTCCCCTTATCTGCTCTTTAGCTTCTCTCCATCCACCTAACTTTCATCTACCACATCCTCTTTTTTCCTCCTCTCCTCTGCTCTCCTCCCTAGGGGGACCTACACTGAGAGTTGTCTCAGGTAGATTAATTACATGCAGTGACATGAAGGAGCTGGCCAGAGGCTTTAGTAATGAGTCTGATTACTCATCTCCAGCAGCTCTGTGCACTCAGGGGAGGAAAGGCGGGACAGTAGGCCAGCAGAGGGGCCTCTCAGTAGGGAAAGAGCAACTTTCACATATGGGGTTCCACCAGTACACCAGTGTTTCTGGCAGCAGCAGTACCACCAATCTGAGATGGAAGAGTCAGCTACATGCTTAAACCTTATCTCATGTTACTTAAATAATCTGACTGTGTACATTTCTATTAAGTAAGAGAAAACTTTTCAGTCTGAAGTCATTTTCTTTGGCATTTAGAAAATAACAACAACAAAAAAAAATGCTGGCTACTTGTTTGTGTATCGCTGCACTCGGTGTTTAAATTAGACTGAAGAATGAAGAAGTTCTTCAGAGCAGCATGGCAAAGACACAAAAGAATGATTGAATTCAGGAGAACTTGATAATCACGAGAACAAAAGACAACAATCATTCCTCGTGAAGCCAAGAATGTGGTTTTGATTTTTTTTTGTAAGAATTATGATCAAATTAATGTGATGTTTTGCCAACAAGTAAAAAACAGTCATTTGGAGGGCAGGTTAACTTCTGACATTCTTTTTTTTTTTGTTAATCAAGCATTTTGATTTATCTGAGGAAAAACATGTTTATTAGGTTATAAAACCAATTTCTTATTAAGTTATTCTTTTTACTGGTTTTCACTGTGGTGCAGGTTGGTTGTCAGTTCTTCCTTGATGGCAGCCAGCATATAGACAGTGACAATCAAACATTATGTGGCAATAAATTTTGTAGACGAGCCAAGGCGATGTAGTATATTACAACTGATATTGATATTTGGTGATTTAAGTATTTGATATTTTGATGGAGGCATTTTTTAAAAAATTTATTACCTTTAACATTTGATATGTGCAATTATTCATGAGTCTTCTTGTATTCACGATTACTCGTTTACTTTCTGCCCAGCTCAGCTGCTTGTTGCATTCGTGGTGTTCGAAAATGAAATGCATGTTAGCACCAAGGAAGTTGCATTGTGCCCTCTGGTGGATAAACTATGCAACATTCATAACAAAGTTGAAGGGTGTTTCTCACATCTCTTCTGTCCTTTTTAAAAATATATTTTATCGGCTATTATAAATGTTGCTACTGATATATCAGCAAATAGCTAACACAGGCTGATGCATCACCCGGCTTGTATTCTACAGGAAGAACATCATGAAGGATAGAACAAGCATCAGTTTCTGTTGTAGCCCCTCCCATAACCACTGACATCACTGGTTCCAACTTTGATCCCAGTAGTATTGTGACGCAGTGGCAGTTTGTCAGGTTAGGCCACGTAACCACAGAGAAAAGCTGTGACCAGCGTAGCATTGATTTGATTTGATTTACATTCCTCTAACAATGAATCCTAACAACTCCCCTGATTAACGATCTAGTCCAATCAGCAGGCCAAAATGTAACTGGTCCACTTATTTTCCATTGTAACACATGTGTCTGTGTACCTGATGACAGTCCCATCAAATTCAGCTCTACTTTATCTTCAGTGTCTAACGAGTAAATATCATTATTCATTTGAGCATGATAACCTCATATTGTAAACATCATATCAGGATTGACATTAGCTTTACAGTGTGGGTGTGTGAGTAATGCTAAATTGCAGTTTTTAAAATGGCAAAATGTGCATAATCGCATTTTGATTTACTAAATTTTTTGAACTTCAGCTTTGCAGGCCCTTGGCATACCTGTTGTTTAATGACTTTATTTCTAAAGTAGTTTTAGCTTCCTCCTCTGCTGCTTCTGTCTCTTTGTGTTTCCTCTTCTCCCCTGGCTTCCATCTCCCCTCCTGTCTTATTTTTTCAGCGTTAAATCAGCTTACCATTTTTCTGGGACTCCGGAGCGTCCCCCAGGAAGCGAGTTAGACAGTGGGTGATGCTCAGTGTGACTGGGTGGCACGGTGTCACAATGTGGTTTGTGTCAGCATTTTAAACCATGTGACAGCATGAATAAAGCATGATGTGGCAGGCAGCGGGGTGGGCAGAGACTGACAAGGGAACAAGCCTGCCCAGTGTTTTGGGGAAGGCGGACAAGTCGAAACTCTTAAAGTTTAATGGGGGCCACGCCGCAGAGAGAAGAAAGGTAGTGTGTGGGGATGTGTGTGCGAGTGGGTCGTGTGGTTTCATTGGGTTTCCATAGACAGTCCTTCAACCAGTGGGATGCAATAGTGTTACTAATAAAGTCAACAGCCTACCTCATGCATGGTGCGTCAGGGTCACAACTAGTGGGAAGGGAATATGTTCAGTCAGCCTTTTCTTTGTGACAGAAGTGCTTCTGGTTGAAGCTCTCCTCTCTGGAGCTGTTGACCTCCCAGAATCCTGTGGTTTCATTGGTTCATTGTTCATCACATCATCGTATTGTCTCAATAAAGATCCAGGAATCCCACATTTTTTCTTCACTGGCTGCTTACAATGTTCCCTTTGATTTTTTTTCCCCCCGTGTTTGTGTTTTTCTTTTTCCTCAACTTGTCCATGTATTTCATCTTTTTCATTAGAAGCATAACTGAAGCTGTGACTACTCTATCAAAGCAAATCTGTTTATTTCAAAGGTTAGTATGTTTGTATGTTATTGATCTTACTCTTTATAAAAGATTGTCTTTGAGAGGTAAATGTAAAGCAGTCATATAACCCCAAAATTCAGTCTTTAGCCTGCCTTAAATGGACACTAGGGAAGTTTGTATCATTGATTGTACAATGTACGGTAGTGTTGTGGCCATAGAACAAGGGCGCATTCGCATTTAGTTTGGTTCCCCATAAGCTTTTAATTGCTTTCACTCTGCAGTTCTGTCAGCCTCGGGATACAAATGTGAATAGTGGGTTGTACAACCAAATCTGGAAAAAGACTAGTGACTTCTGGCAGCTTTCCCCAAGTAGATGAAGTCATAGACAGCGGAACAACTGGAGTAACTGTCTATAAGTGAGCAGAAGAAAAGGAATCTTGTGGCCAGAGATGGAGAAGGACACTAGATATCAAGATCAAGAGCGAAGCCCGGACAAGCGTTTCCTTGATGGAGAGAATTTTGGGGATTAAGAAGGTTTAAAAATGACACTAAACAGCAGTTTTATTCTTATTTTAAAACACTCAAGTATCACATTATTATTTCCTTCAACCTCCTCCCCACAGCAAGTATGAGGTCCTGAATTGGAATAAAACAGATGCTAAGAGTAATCCCGGCAGCAATCGCAATTCCAATTGGGGGGGGGGGTTTAAGAAAAAGGAGTTTATTAACTTTGTCCAGCAGATGTGAACAACAACAGCAGATCAACTCCACAGTAGTGGAGAAAAGTTCAGTTTGTATCACAAGTTTGTGTGTGTGTGTGTGTGTGCGCATGTCTCAGGCCCCATTGCCCATACAGCATGCCTGAGCTCCATCTACCAAATCCAGTGTGTCAGTGAGCAAATTGGAAATGCCAATTTCACTTTACACCGCTCCGTATCTTATCTTTCGCTTACCCTCATCCCACCACTTAGCTCATGTGTAAATGAATAAGGTCCTCTCACACACATAGCACTCATGATTTCTGGCTGCCTTGCCGTCTTTGACCACCTCTCCTTTTCCGCATCGCCTATCTCCCTCCCCTCGTCCGCCTGCATTCTTCCATGCCCGTTCAACTGTAACCCATCTGTTTTTTGTTTTTCTCTACGTGCATCCATGAAATATGTCTGTTTTGGCGGATATGGAATTCCGCTCGCGTGCGTTCTTTCGCTCTTTCCCTGCCTGCAACGAGCAAGTCTGGCTGAATCACTATGCAGATGACACTATATCCCACACAACTCGCAATTTGCATTCAATCCATTATAGAAGAACAATTTCTCACGCGTTCCTGGTCTTGTTTTTCTCTTCCCTGCAGTACGACTACGAGGGCAGCGACATCAGCGACCTGCCGGTTGACCTGTCTGTGGTGTGGAATGGAAACTTTGTCATCGACAACCCGTTCAACATTCAAGGTAGAGAGCTTTCTCTTCTCTGTGCTTCTCTGACGCCTCCTTCTTTATTGTCATCTCCCCTCGGGGAAGCATGTAAGCATTGTTACTGCAAGAAAAAAAAAAAGAAGACGAATCGGCCCCGCTTGTTTATTTGCTTGTAATGATTTTCTGCGAAGCAACAACAAGCGTGCGCAGCTGTCCTCCTCCGTAAGAAATCTGCAATTTCATTTTTGACAGACCGTCAGGGAGAAAGGTGAAAGTGTACCAGTGGTTTGGCAAAACACTGTTCACGAGTTAGGGATTTAAAAGAAGAAAAGAGGGGCAGAGGGAGTGATTGATGGATAGCGATGATAACAAACAAACATCCCAACGCAGAAATTAATAGGGATGGATGTTAGAGAGGAAGATAAACAAATGGAGAACGCAATAGGCAGAAGAAAGGATGAAGAGGAAGAGCGATGGGTGGATGACAGGTTGATAAATGCGCTACGTAATGGCGGGGTGTGGGTGTGGGGGTGTAGATGTGAGTAAAGGGATTGATAAAGAAAAACAGAAAGCGACATGGAGGGATGGGATTTATTATTTTTAATCGCTATTTGTGCATGAAGTGGAAAACAATTACCAATTCTAAATTCTTTATCAAGTGTAATATATTGGGTGGTAGAGGCTAATGATTTTAGACGTCCCATTACACAAGATAATAAAAGTCTTGCTCTCAAGTGTGTCATACAGTCTCTGGCTGCGGATGCACGTGCAGCCTCAGATGAACGAACCCTCTCTGCTGCTTTCTGTCTCGCGTTTTGTTTTCGCTCTTAAAAAACTGACACCCTTGCACATTTTAATCTGGCAGCCTTTGTGCTGTATCTGACCTCTTTTTGACAGATGTTAGACGTGCCATTCACTTTCAGACGGTTCGGAAATTAGCTGCATATTGGTCACGACCTAATTCTCCTGCCTGTGCCGTGTTTTTTTGTTTAAAATTTCCTCTTTTAAGGTTTTCCGCCTGTGCCGAGACATCCTCCTCGGGGATTAAACCTGCTGCGTTTGGCACGTGCGGCGCAATATTGTAGCTGTCGCGATGAACTAAATGATCGCATTTTTATCCAATCAGCTTGATGGAGTCATTGCTGTAATTTTTAACTGTAGATTTAATGACTTTTTAACTGTGAAGAGTGTCAAGCAAGCAATACAGACCCACATTTATCAGAGAATCTGCAGGTGCTGCTCTTTGAGCAATGAGCTACTCCATCAAATAATAAACATTGTTGAGACATCCATATTCTGAAGAAACAATGTAATAATGACATTTGCTACCACTAACAGTCACTACAGCAATAAAATTAAGATGAGGTCTCAAACACAGTAGGAGTTTGGACCATATAGTATTAACCGATGTATGTTTATGCCAAATCTGACCTAAATTAACTGTACTGGTAATCACCAAAAGAATTTGTTATGTTTGTATCGTGGTTAATCCACCAGTATGAGCACACTCTTTAACTGAAATTACATTTTGAATGCTAAAATATAATTACTGTTGTTATCCATGGATTTTCAAATATCACCGTTTTACAACAAAGCGGGGAAAAAAATTGTAAAATAGTAAAGCACATTATTATTATTTTTTAATTGCGATGCCAAATTACAGTTTTTTACTTCCATTCCTGAATGAAAAATTTAGTTTTAGTCGTTGAACACTATGCTTGATTAATTTCTTTTTTACTTCGCTGTGCCGGCTCAAATTTTGGGTATAAATTCAGATTATTTGCTTAATGACTTTTAGTTTTACACAAGTTTTTGACATTTTTAAGCATTGGACATGAGGTTTTTTTTAGGAATTTACAGTAATATATGTATCCTAAGGGCTGATAGTAAATCCAGCATTGAATAGGTAACAGGTAACACAAAACTCTGATGGTTCTGTGTTTGTGCAAGGCCACAGTGTTAGCATGTTTGTGTGTATTTAAGATTTGTCAAACTATCAAAGTTTTGTGTTTGTGTTACCTGTTACCTTTGGGTATTCACCGCTGGAGTTGCATGATTTTGGGAAGGTTATAGGTGAAATATTTGATTGCGTGTGCTGCCTGACATTTGACTCTTAATGTATTGTAAATGTTTTTAAGCCACAATTATATAATTGCATAGATGCTAAAATGGATCTGGTATGCTTTTTGTTGTTTCTGTCATATACTAGTGCATTTGTATATTAATATGAATATTTGTATATTAATATGAAGTTTACGTGAAGTGAAAAGTGTGATGTGATCCAAGCAAGGTATTGAAGCAACAGGGAGGGCTGCAGCCTTCTTTCCAATAAAGTCTCTTCAAGAACTTAGAAGAAGGTAGGAGTGCACTGAGGCTCCAACCAAGTACAGAAACATACTTTTCAGGAGATGGACATCGTTGTAAGGCCTTTTTTAATAATAATGCATACTTTATTGATCCCAGTGGGGAAAATACTCTCTCTGCATTTAACCCATTCACTGAAGAAGTGAGCAGCCACCAATCAGGCGCCTGGGGGGCAGTGTGTAGGGACGGTACCTTGCTCAGGGGTACATCAGGGTAGCCGTTTAGTGGATTCAAACCCTCGACTTTCCGATCATGGAGCGACCACACTACCTACTGAGCTATCCCTGCCCCATATTGATTGATCTTGGGAATTATTCGTATAACATATACTGTGATAATTGAAGCTACAGGATTTCTGATTGTCACAAGCCTGAATTTGATTAGTTATAAAGTAGACTACAGAATTTAGTGGGTTTTTTTAACTTTTTGAATTAAATTACAAAACAATGAACTTCACCATGTTCTAATTGTTTCAGATGTGTTAGTACAGCATATGCTTACACTGGTAGATGCTCACGTGGATTTAAAGCCGGTTGGCTTTACATGAGAATCAGAATCAGAATCAGAATCAGAATGGGGTTTTATTGCCAAATGTTGAGCAGGTTTACAACATTAGGAAATTGCTGCGGTGCTTCAGTGCAAACATGGTGTCATAAATAACACTTAAATAGACATGGAAAAAATAAAAGTGGGGATAAGAATTAAAAGTGCTACGTGGAAAGATATGTGCATGAGATATACATGAGAGCAGGTGGTGATCAGTGCCAAACATGGAATGATACAGTGAACACAGCGTAGGGTCATGTGTTAGTGGTGGGAACAGTCATATGGTTATTGTTCATGTGTCCAACAGCAGAGGGGAAGAAACTGTTCTTATGGCGAGAGGTTCTGGTGCGGATGGACCGGAGCCTCCTGCCTGAGGGGAGCAGGTCAAACAGACTGTGTCCAGGGTGACAAGGGTCAGCTGAGATCCGAGCTGCACGCCGCAATGAGCATGAGTTGAGGGGCTCTGGTAAAGCTCACTGTAACACAAAGATAATTAGAACTGTGCCTCATGCAAAGCAACTCTAGTTGAGTCTAAGAGTAAATGGACTGGTTATTATTTTTCAACTCTGCTTAACAGCTTTACACAGCGTCTCTCATTCACACAAGCACTTTTTTACCCCAAGGATACTTTGGCATGCAGACTGGAGCTGCCAGGGAACAAACCACTAACCTCCTGATTAGATGCCCTACTCTTCCTCCTGAGCCAGCCTCAGCCACCCACAGTAAAAAGATGATGCTGGAAATTAGTATGACAGATCCTCTCTTAGAAATATTGTTTTATTCCATTTTTTTTTCTAGGCAGCTGTTGCTGTTTGGATTTGAAAGGCCTCGGTAATAAACTGTGGAGAGATTAAAATACTTGCAGGTTCTTTGGTACACAGTGTTTCTGTTGTCTTAAATCAAATCTGCTTGTGTGTTTCCTTTCACTGCATCATTCAGCAGTGGATGACAATGAAGAAGTCCAGCTTCACATAAACCAGCCTGTGTGGTTAAATTCAGTGGGTAACAAGGCCAGCGGGCAAGTAGCCGGATGGAGATCCCTAATGCAGTTAGCAAAAAGTCCATTTCTCGAAGGCTAAATTCTGTTTTCTGTCAGTCAAAAGACAAACTTTTAAAGATGATTAATATAATGTAATATAACTTCTTAGAGTGCTGCAGGGAGCTGGTGCTTTTTTTAGCCCTGGTTTACAGTTTTCAACTGAGGTCTATAGTGCAAAAAGCATGATCCACAACGCCACAGCAAGAGGAAGAAATACACAAGTCTGAAATCAACTAGAGTGGTGGGAAATATATACAATTATAGAAAGGACTGAAATGTAACATTGCTTTTACTATTTAAGGGTTAGAATCTCTGTGCTTTTGTTACATAATCCATTATTAGCTTTAATTCCCACATTTCCTCACAGCTCACGGTTGATTCTTTGAAAATAAACACTTCACAGGTGTAAGCTGTGAAGAATTTGGAGGGGGGAGGGGGTCATTTTTGCAAATTATGAACATAGCACATTTTTTCTCTTTTTTTTTAACAAGTTTCTACAGGTTTAACCTGGAATAAAACTCATAATAGGGTTTCTGACATCCAATTATTCAGCTTTGACGATATGGCAAACATTATCCAGGTAACTCTTGTGAATCGGGCCCCAGGGACTGTGTGCCACAGCGAGTACTTTGCATAACACGGAGTGGCGTTTTTCTCCGAGAGTGTGAAATCCAAGGATCTGCGACGCGGTGTATATGTCAGTGTGAACTCGACACAAATGTTCCTGTTGTTGCGACTTCGAGGTGGTGGTGCCTGGCGAGAATCCGTGCAGGCAGGCATCCAAAGGTAGCGGTTTGCTCTTCAAACACAACACAAACATCAGCACGCTTCTTAAAAGCGTGCTTTCTAAATCCGTCCTCATTCATACAGTCTTCATAAAGGCGTTCTCCTCCTTTTTTTCCCTTCTTCTTCTCTCCATCCTCTAATAATCCCTCCCAGTTCCATCCCCGTCTCCCTCTTCCTGAATCAGAGCCGTGTCATTCGTCTGAGGCAGAGCCGCTCGGCGCCGGCCCAGATTTGCCCCGGTGTAAAGTGGAGATGTTAATGTTAATTAAATCATTCATTTGGTTCAGATTAATTAGCGTCGCGCTACTTTTAAGACGAGCCGTAGCTAATCAGATTAGGCCGAGCCGAGGGCCGAGGCGGGCAGATGGATACGGAAGAGGCTCGCTTTGAAGTCCGGCTGCTGTCTGTCTGACAGAGAGTAGAAGGCGGGAAGAGCTTGTTACATGTTCTCGTGCTCCCCCCCCATCTCTGTTTTTCCACTTCATCTGTTTAACTGGTGTGACGGCAAACAAACCTGCCGGCAGGTTTTGACAATGTTGCAGCGACTGAGATAATTATGATGCTGATAAGCAGATGACAAAACAGAAGTAAAAGAAAACCAAAAAAACATTTCTGGTACGTTCAGCTGTCTTGTTTGCATGGACTCTCACGCTCTCTGTTGAATAAGGTCTCTCTCTGTCTCTCATTTCCTCTCCCTTTTTTGGCTCGCTGTGTTCTCTCTGATTCTCTCGGCCTCGCGGGGCCCCACACCATCTTTAAATTCATAACAATCCTTGTTGCTGGTTTGTTAACAAGCACAGCTAAAATTTATCCTCCTCCCTGCTTCCTTTCATCTCCCTCTCCTCCAACTTCTTAGGTGTTTGAGGTTTTAATTTATTTATTTATCTATTTATTTATTCAGTTTTACTTTTAATGACTTTTTTCCCCACTCTGCAGAGTTTGGGGAGGAATGTGTTGTTGTTTTTTTTAACACAACAAATTATCAATTCCCTATTGGCGTTTGAAGACATTACCTGTTGAATTAATTTCTGTGATATCCCTCTTGGTGGCTTGTTAATTTTTTTCCCTCCATTTATCTGCGGAAACAGTTATTTTCTCATCGGCACAGCCTCGGAGTGGTAATAATCACCTACTGAAGGTTTTAGGTGTTGTGTGGGTGATTAACATTCATTTATGCTGTTCCTTTGCTCTTTCTCTTCCTCATACACAGAAACTCCTGATTGCTTTTTTTTTCTTGCCACTGCTGCTTTCTTTCAAATGAACAACTTAAAAAACTTTCTGTTCATCAAATATTTCATGAACATCATGCAGAATATAACGTTTCTCAAAATTTGAAACATGACAGATAGCCTGCTCAATAAGATAAATGTAGGGTCCTGGAATACATAAATGAAGCATTTATTTATTGTTTTTGGAAGTCTGCTGGAGTGCTTTCTCCTTAAATTAAAAAATTAGGTAAAGACTGCCTCTGCTAAATGAAAAATTTGGCAGTGGTTAGTTAGCTTAGCCTAGCATAAAAGCCTGTAAATCGGGCTGTGAGCTAGCTTGGCGCTAAAAGATATTTTTCTATTAATTTAAACAAGCTAAAATTGTTAGACAATGTTTTTTGTTTTTTTTAGCCACATAGTGCAAATCACAAGTGTTACACACCGGCCTGGGGGGGGCTGGAGTGCAACACAAGAAAAATAATAAAAAGTAGTAAATCACACAGCCACAGCTTTACAATGACTAGTCATTTTATTAACTTGACAGGTAGCGAGCATCAGGGTGGGCATGGCCAAAACAACAAACAAAATACACTGGAAATGAATCAGAACTAACTTGCCTATAGTGAATCAACCCGATTCGGGTTGATTCAAAAGTTTCGGGTAGAAGGTTGTAAAAGAAACGGCTTCCCACCCCTACAGCTACCATGTCCAGATACGACTCTCTAAACTGTTTTTACTGCAGCTCAGCTCTGTCACACGCCACAAGGGCCCCAAACGCGCAGCTCACTGGAAACAGGAAGTAGTAGGAGAGGCTGCCGGCCCAGTCAGGTCCCAATTTGTAGCTGGCCTCATTCCCTCTTCCAGTAACAGCACCACACAGCACCAATGACCTGGGTCATAACACAAGTTGTTAAAAATAAAAAGGAGTTTTGGCAGTTTGCTGGTCTGGAGCATTGTGGTGTGCGTTACCATCAGCAATCATCTGAAAGAAGCAATTGTTGCTGCAGTCTGAAAAGGGTTATGCGTTCATTCATCAAACATTGTAAACATCCAAGAAAAATGTCCAAAATCCCAAATCCACCTCCCATGCAGTGCACAGCTCAGAGAAACTAAAAAAAAAAAAAATCTCAGACTATACAGGCCTTAGAATTTAGATTTTAATATCCAAGACAGCACAATTAGAAAAAGAACTAAAAGTCTAGCTTTTCTGGAAGGTTTCCAAGATAAAGACCATGTCACCATGGCTTAACTTTGCAAAATTGCATTTGACAAAGCCAAAGGCCTTTTAGAACAACGTCCATTGGACAGGCGAGACCAAAGTGGAGATATTTGTCCTGAATACTCAAACACAGCACATCAGCACAAACAGCTCATACCCTCTGTCAAGCTCAGTGGTGTTCTGCAGCCAAAGAACCTGGGCACCTTGCAGCTGCTGAGTTGACCATAAACCCTCTGTTCACAGTATTCTCGTGTCAGATGTTAAGCCATCTGTCTGACAGTTACACTTACCTAAAGTAGGTCATGCAACAGGATAATGATCTCAAACACATGAGCAAAAATGACAACAGAACGTCATTTTCACACTGAGTTTGGAAACGGGGTGACTAGCATGCCATTTGTGTAAACCTTTACATGCCATAGCCATAAATTAATTCCTACCAAGCAAAGGTAGCCATTATTATGACTGTTGTTCACCCCTTTGACCATAATTTTATCCTTCACAGCAACTGCTTTACAATAATGTTTGATTACAACTCAAATCCTATTGCATATGTTTCTGTCTCTCCACCAGCTCACCTGTACAAGTGCAGGGCATTGCGGGACAGCTGTGGTATGTGCCTGAAGGCCAACCCCAGGTTTGAGTGCGGTTGGTGTGTTCAGGACAGGAAGTGTTCCCTCAGGCAGGAGTGCACCGGAGGAGGCAATTCCCACCTCCCCCTCCAGCTGGCAGAAGGTGGAGGGTGGATGCACGCCACATCTGGAAACAGCCGCTGCACCCACCCCAAGATCACCAAGGTAAGTAAGTGTGTCTGCCTGTTAAGGCTGCACACTTAAAAGTTGGTACCACCCACTGTGAACATGACCGGCTTTGAGATATACAGATAGTGTATGTGTGAGAGAGCATGCTAGGATACTTTCAAATGCTTGTACGGCTGTTCTGTGTGTAGCTGCTTTTTGACAGTTGTCACTTTGTACTTGACTGTGGAGTACTGGGTCATTTAGCATTTTGTAGTGTAGAATGTGAGAGTAAATGGCATCTATTACTCTACAGGTGTCTGATCCACTCTGTGTGAGTAACACACATAATTAAAAACATTCAGCCTTTTTTTTTTTGACACCCTCCCACACAAATGCATCAAAACTGAAATAAAATGCAACACACTCAGACTCATTGGTCACATTTTCTACAGTTAATGTGAAAAAGTTTCCAGGTTCATGGAAAGACAGGAATGAGCTGGGTGACCTTTCACATGAGTCTGAGTGTGCTCCAAATAACAGAAACATTTTTAATATAACTAACTAACAATGATGCTGCATTGGAAATTAATAGAAACCACCTCTGATGATTTTTTTCCTTAATAAAGAAGTGAGTTCTTTAAACTGGTTGAGTTGTGGTCTCGTATCACAGCACCTTAATTGAGGAGAATTTTAAGCGTGATAAAATGATTTAGCCCTCATTTTTGAATTTTCATTGTGTAGCAGTGTTTTAATGAATCTAATATATAAATAATACATTATAGCTTAAAAAGGACGCAAGTTTGTGTTTTTAAAATAATCTTTGAACTCACCTGTTTTTGCAGCTGTTTTTGGATTAAATGGACAAATTTGCTGCGTTTATATACAGGTGTGCTGTGGCTCAAGACATTCCCGTGCTAAATATACAATGATATGGCAATAGTAAAATAATACTAGTTTAGATACAGAGGTAGACGTCGCTCTGGGTCTCT